GAATCCCGTTGAAGCCCTGATTTTTTCAGGCTTCTTCTTTCCAATTGCTTAAATTGGAAAATTTACTGCGATGATCATTCTTCACTATCATCTACAACTGCAGTTCATATATGAATTATTTCATATAAACTTCACATCAGGAAGAGCAAAGGCGAAGAACACTGTAATCACGATTCTCGAGTAAGCACGATGTTTACACAAGGCGAAGCGTTTTTAGAAAAAAACTTGCAGCTATCTACAATTTTATTACTTTAAACCTCCAAATCTTTAAGTTTTAGCAAACTGAATGACTTACCGAGGGCAAAAACCACGGCAAGGAAGGTCATCTTGTCTTTCCAGCCTTCAAGATTTCGCAATGTAGCCTGCGTAACAAGAGTAGAGCTTTTTACGCGTGTTCATATTTGCTCAATTCCTGCAATTCTGCCTTTTTAACCCGGAGATTGGGGCGGTTGTGCAAATAATGCAAATGCTATGCACATGAAGCTACATGATGTCCTTCCGTCACCTGTAAACTTTTTGGAGTAATTCCGCTGACCAGTAGATAACGCTCCTGAAATACTGTAGTTCAAGAGCACGTCATTTTCTCTTACTAGAGTTATAGTCAATATTGTAGGCACATGTATCGTTTTACATTTCTACGTCAAGGTCTATGTGACTGCGATTGTTGCACTAAAAATGGAAACTTGTTTTGTTTGCTTTCTGGGTATGGTTCATTTGACATTTCTATTCTAATCTTAAATTAACAGTTAACTGTAAATAAGACCAGATGTTGGCCTTTGTAATACGTATTGGGAACATTTTTGATGACAGAGGTGAAGTTGCTGGAAGCTGCTATTGTAAATTTCCGCTCCGAAGTTTAGTAAAGATTGACAAGAGGCAATCCGCTCTACATATCGATGGTATTACTACTGGAGGGCCGATCTCCTAAAGTTAAATTTAGGATCAAAAAGAACAGTTTCGTTGAGTCCACAGTAGCATTTGTCGAAAAACATCGCGGTTTCGCGAGCCTCTTAAAAGCTCATGATTACGCCAGATTAGTAAGTTTCAACCGCGGGCATGGAATCCACTTCGAGAAAATCCTGATCTTGAGGACAAACTCTCCATGTTACGCAAATTAGCAGTGATGAAACATATTTAAAGTCGCATTGGAAGACGAATCCCATGTAGCGGGAACGAGGAGAACTAGCTAGATCTGTCACTTTCTATGTAAATGTGTTTTAAGTGTTTAGAGTGAATAAAGCATTGTCATTGTCATTGTTCTTCACGAACTGAAATCCAATCCGAGCATTAAAAGTTTCCCCAAAGACAAAAAATTTTGAGCTTATTTGTTCAAGCTGATACATTTTGACACTTTAATAGGCTGATGAGCTAGTTACACAAAAACGTTCGCGAAAAGCTTTATATGTCTATTTGTAGAGAGGAAGTCCAAACCCGATGGAGATCTGTGCATGCGCGTGGATTTACCGCTGGACAAAAAAACTGTGGAAAATCAGGACTGGGCCGCCGGACCGCCGGGCCGTCGGGGGCCGTGAGCCGCGGGCCGCTGGGCCGTCGCGGACCGTGGGCCGCGGGCCTGCTTTTAGCAAAACCCCGCGTGATGGAGGTCGAGTCCAGATCAGAACGATTTCGCGCTCCTAAAACTATTTCTTAAGAAAATGTTCTGGTGAATGACGCCGTTCCAACTAGGTATGAAAACAAGTGGGCTGTGAGCATTTTTGCCGAATGGTTAAGAGAGGTTAAAGTTCCGGTATTAGATTGTGGTGGTCTCTTCAAGGACTACGATTTACATAAGGTTACCGCTCTGAGCGCAGATATTACCGGAATGGACGCTCTGTCGCTGAACTATTGGTTGTCAAAATTCGTGATGGAGGTAGCTAAAAAGTCCGGTGGAAGATACCCTCCCAAGACTGTTTATGGTATCATTTGTGCCCTCGAGCGTTATTTGGAGGAGAAAAATGGATCCGAAGCTTTAAATTCTCTGGACCCTAGTGACAAAAGGTAATTGACAACTTTTAGACCGCATTGATCAGAATTTTAAAATGCACTGTTTTGGGAATTGAATTTGGTGTGTTGTTTTTCGAAGGTTTGTCCAGTTCCGACGTTGCTTAGATGCCGAGATGAAGGATGGCGTTCGAGAAGGGCTTCATGTTAAGAACAAGAAGGAGGAGAAGGAGTTTGTGAGCGAGCAAGAAGAAGCAACATTCTTGCCGTATTGTTGTTGTAAGTAATGATTGAAGCGGCAAATATACTGTATTTAATATTAAAATTCAAGTTCTTGATTAGTGTCTTGATCAGTTTTTGAACTAATCGAAAGTGTCTTGATCGGTGTGTTTATTGGGTATCAAAATACATGCACCTGACCCAATTGATGCAAGCTGATTGGGTCATCAGCACATGAATAATTAATGAATTTGAGAAGCTTAATTAAAACACTTGTGCCACTTTGTCGTCAAATCAAAAGTAAAACAAAATCAATCGTAACTCACTTGCACACTTTTTCCTGCGTTTCACGCGCTGACAACATTTAATAGACTGTATTCGTATTCTCGATATTGGTCTGGAAATAGCTTGCAAGTGAAGCTAATGCGGGGAGTCTTTTCAAATGACGTCCATCTCTTTTTAATAATATTCCCCCGCATGAGCCTCTATTGCAAGCTAGTTCCAATCCAATACCGAGAATACGAATATGGTCTATTGCTTCTAGTTTTATTTCGTTTACTAGATTGTCTGTGTCCTTTGTTATGGGTCAGCCTGATTAATTTGGTTTTGGTTGGCTCTTTTCATGTTTATGGATGCCGAATTAATCAATCAATCAATCAATCATTTACGTACGTGCAGATAAAAAACGAAAATAACAAAATGAATTAATGCGGATTCGAGGCGCTTTCGGACGGGCACTTGGCATTTTCGAGACACTCGCGTATGTAATTGCAACTTGAAGCTGCCGCACACTCGGCGATTTTTTGTCCTGACTAACCCCGTTGAGGCTGGGTGCCGAGTCATCCAAAATCAAGATGGCACACTAGCCGACAAGGCCCGACAAAACGTTTTGAGATCTAGCACTAAGCCCCAATCTTGTCGCAGACTTGTCTGGATTCACCGCACAGTAGCCGACAAGTGAATATTTTTTGTCGGCCGACAAAAAAATCGGCAAGTTTGCGGCGGCCTTTATATGTGCAATAACTGTCTTTTTAACAATGTCATTTCAGGTCGGTTTCTTTTCACGGCTTTATCAGATTTATGGTGGTTCAATAGGGTAATCATTTATCGCGTTGCGCGCGCTACTGTAATGCTTTAAATGGGTTTTTTTTTTTTTTTTTTTGCATTTTTATGCCCAGTTCTCTCAAACTTACTAAATGTAATAAGCAATGACGAAATTGTGTTTTACTACCATCTCTGTGAAAATCTTGGCTTTCAGCTTTTAATTATTAATGCCCAAAAAGAGCGTTTTAACCGTTTATGTGGCTCTATTCGTGATTTTTTTCAGTTTTCTACAGTGAGATTTTATGCGTATTGTTCTGCTTGTTTGTGCTTGTGCTGTGGGCGTCCTCGCTAACATTATGCTTATGCTTGTGCTTATGTCATAGTGAAAACCAGGCTCAACAAAAGTTGCTAAAACGGCAATGGTTAATGTGTGTAAGCTTACATAAATAATGTTGGCATAATATTCTTTACAATCCATCAAATATCTTCACGCGCGCGCGTTTGGTCTAAATGCATCACGTGACTGAATATTCCCCAGGTAAAACGGGGGAATAGCCGAGTGTGATAATCCAGCAAATATTTTCGCTCGCGCCCGATTGGTCTAAACGCATCACGTGAGTGAATATTCCTCGGCTAAAACTGGGGAATATCCAAGTGATAAACCATAATTTTCAAAACCGCGCGCGTTGTGAAAATATTTAAAGGATAAATAAACACAATAGCCTCCATTTGGCGCGAAAATATGTTCGGATATTTGTCGTCTGTTCCGAGAAGCGTAGCTCGAGGAAAACTGTTCGCTTCTAGGAACAGATTATGTCCGCGGACAAATATACGAGCATATTTCCGCACCAAATGGAGGTTATTGTTTATATAACCTAAGTTTTTCCAGCCGCCCAATTGGCACATTGAACTTGATTTTTTATCTACAAAAACGCAGATCTCAGAATAATTTATAATGGCGCTAATAAACAGAGAAGTCTGATGTGATTGAAACAAAAACATTTATTAGTTAAAAAAAAGTGCAATTTCGCTACATAGCTTATCATAAAACAGTTAACACCTAAGGGCCGCCTTTATACTCGTGCTAAATTTTATATTATAGAAAACAAAACAAGTTGTTGTTTTAAACTAAAAACGCTTCCACTTATAAGGATGAATATCACCGTACTCTGTTGTTTCAAATCTTAACAAAGAGCAACAGCGAAACAAAAGAAAACAACAGAACCTGCACGACACTAGGTTTAAGGCCAGCGGCTGCGTTGAACGGGTTGTCCAGATCTCTCACGCCATCGCACTGATCCTTTCCAGTCGCCCCAGGGTCCCGACGGTTGGGACAGAAAGGATTGTAGTCGCCGAGATCCAAGTCTAACGCTTCCTGGAGGAGAGATGGAAACGTGCAATCCGAATCTATCAGGTTCTTCAAACACTTCTTTGCTTTAGCTTGCTCCCTGTTGAATTCAATATATTCATAGACATTTCAAAAATAGGTCATTTCCGAGTTTTCTTGTGCCTCTGTTTCAAAACCAGTCCTCGTGCAACACCTGCCATACGAAAATGAGTTCATTTGCATGAAAATGAACTTGTGGGGAAAGCACATTTTCAGATGAACGGTTTCGTACCAAGACTCGTTTAGAAACAGAGGCAAAAGGCAACTCGGGTATGGCCTATTAATCCTGCCCAACAGAACAATGACAGGATCATAATCTCTTGTCCAGCCGACATTTATAATTAGGTCTTACGACACTGATCAGGCAAATAGACTGGGGCGAGATTTCACTTGTGACGTACTTGGTCATTGACGCCACGTATTGCCTTGGTAACAACGACTGACGCTTCTCTAATAGTCAATGGTGGTATTGATCATATACATTAGAGCCTGAGAGACCAAAATCTAGTGGATAAAACTTTCTTTTTTTTTTCCAATTTGATTAAAAATATCCTCTTGAAAACCTTGTCCTTCCTAAGTTAAGAGGGTGGGTCAGGTAAAATACGGTGCGCATTCAAGGCCCTCAGGGAGACGCCTCTACCCAACTTTCGTTGAGTATCCCTGAGTTAAAATTGAATATCCCTAGTATCATAAGTGCAAATGACTGAAGAGACAGCATAAGGTAATTATTTTAACAAATGAATGTAACTCACGGGCAAAGTGACGGGTCCGACTTATCTGCAGCGAACTTTTCGTGGAATGTTTTCACGCATGCGTCTGCATTACTGCTGAACGAAGCAGAACACGGAAGGCCAGCTGATCCCGGGGGCATGGTGGGTATCCCCGCCATACCATCAGTACATAATGCGCTTTCTTTGAAAGATTGGTAAACAATTCCTCTGACCTGGCTTTCAGGCAGCTCGTGGTTAAAACAAATCTGTATCGACTTGCTCACACAATCCACAAGTCGGTTGTATTTAGCACTGGAATATAAACAGGCAAACACAGGGTTAGAGCACGAGTAGTCGCTCTTTCTTTTACTCCGTTGAACGTGACCATAAATTAAATAAACTTGAGAAAAAAATGGCCCGCACGAAAACAAAAGGGGACTGAGAGCGCAAAATGGACAAAATCGATATTTCTGGGGCCACACATACCTATTTAGCCCATACAATGAAGTACCCACTCACGGGCAATTAACCAACCTGCAATCTCCGTTTGGGTCTTTTTGGAGACTTTGGTAAAACAGCGTGCTGCATTTAAGGCCATCACAGTAGTACTCCATGAAAGTGCAGCTGCCAACATTTGGGAGTGCTGCGTCGCTTGCAGGAACAAGCACTGGAGGAAACATAACAACAACAGCAGCAAAGACTAGCGTTAGCCTGAGAGGTACTTCAATATGCAGAAACGACATGTTATCTTTTCTCGTGTACTAGTGTATCATACGTGTATGTTATTCTTAATATTTCGAAATTCTTGACTCGGCTTCCACTAACGTCCAATAAAGAATCAAGGAAGCCAAGCACATCCTTTGGGAACCATCCCTTTCATACTAATTACACTAATTACTAATTACAATCAATCCCGCTGGAGCCTACCGCGATGCCAAGCGCTGATTGGTTGATTTGAAACGGCCTGTATGTCTTGTTTTAAGCTTTGCACCGATCGTATTGAGAAAGCTGTATTCGTGATTTCAGCATCGATTTTCTCGGAAAATGTTGAAGGGATGAAGCTCAAAATTCGGCGAAGAGATAGGGAAAAATCTCAGTGAATGGCTCTCTTCAGAGCCACCACAAAAACAAAAGTCTAGGCCTTCGTTTGCTTTAATTCTTTAATTTGTCATTGTTTTGTTGATTGGAATATTTTCCACGATACACATATATGCGATATATGGACGTTTGCGCTAATTGTTTCTGTTGATTCATCTTCGATATTTTAAGCTAAAAACTGGAGACCATGTTGATTTAAAACCCGCGCCAATTTTTCAAAACCAGACTCGCGGTTTTCCAAACGCTTTATCTATGAAACCAGGGCTCCTGACCCCCATCGAAAAACTCGTTTCCAACTGAGACTCTATCCGTAAGGCCAGGCAAGCTTTTGTTTACGTCCAAACGTAAAATTCTCATTGTACCTGAAAAAGGCTTCTTTGGCCAGCCGAGATATAGTACACCTTAAAAAATCATCCTACGTTGTGTCGGTTTCTGCTTTTATATTCTTCATTATTCTAAGCTGGAAACACAAATATAAGCAAACATTTGCAATCGCTTGCTTGTTTGTCGTGAACAAACTCCGTGCGACTGATTCGAATATTTCCCCTGATGAATAAAAGTAGATAGTAGTTACATTGCCGTTCCTTGTTTCAGGCTCACTCTTATGGATCTTACCTTCAGAGTATTTTTCCACCGATTCCAAATAATATTGGACCGGATAAAGACTGAGCTATCTGTCGCGACTGCAACTGATCAACAAATGCAATCAAACTACAACCAATGAAATATAGTTGTTCCCATGGTTAACATCCCAAAGCCAAGGCGATTCAAAGTCGTGTTCGTGAACACATAAAATAAACTTTAAACGACGAGGTAGTCTCTAGCTTTAGAAATCCGCTTTACAAAGCTCAGACGTGCTCAGACTACTGCAATCTCGTTCTCAGCGTCTTCGTTCCCTTTGACCAGCGGTCGGAAAACGAGAGCTCTGGGAGCAACCATTTTGAAATAACCGAATTCTGCCCATCCGGTTTACCTGCGCAGTCTGCATCTATGGCGCACGCCTGAAATGGTTGCTCCCGGAGCTCTCGTTTTCCGACCGCTGGTCAAGGGGAACGAAGACTCTGGGGACGAGATTGAGGCTACTACGAAAACCAAGGGGTGTGCGATAGTCTTTGCGCATATGACGTATGACTTCATTCAAAATGGCGCAGACAATGCAGGCGTTCGACGAAAAAGTCTCAAAAAAAGTCACTCTTGAAACCACAGGCCACCCAAGATTATGAACTGCGTTCTGCGAACGCAATGAGTTTCTGAAGCTCTCGTAATAATCGACTAGCCTCTATTGTTTTACGAGCCCTCATTCTTGTACGCGACCAGCTCTAGTTACGACCACTGTTTTGAATTTCCAAGGTGGTCGCTTACGAGAGCTTCTACTGTATCTTAATTCTGGGGTCAAATAAAGCTGGAGCCACGCGCCCAGATTGGTTTCCTTTAGGGGTTCAATTCAAAGTTTGCTAACAGTGTTTCTTTTATTAAAACAAATGTAAAGAGTTACGGTCGTTTTTCCAAAACGTTGTATTCGAGGAAATTTATGCATTATTATATGGCTGAATAAATTTCATTGTGACTGGCTGATGTAGGAGAGTTAGGAGAGCGTGACCTTTGGTCACACTATTGGGGGCACGTAATGACAGCGTGGTTTTGACAGTATTTAGCAAGTTCTTTTTAGAGAAGTGTATGCAGGAGTTTTCGATCGAGCCGCGCTCATTGCTGTGGAATAAACGCCAAAGGGCCAAAAGGCTCGTGCAATTTTGAGAGAATTTCAAATATCACTCGTAGTGTAAAATGTAAATCCTTATTCACCTATATAAATTAAATTGAAACGAAATTGAATAAAGTCGAACCTCCCGTAAGCGCTTACGGAGGTGGTAGCTTACGAGAGCTTAGACCATGCTTATGGGGTCAAAATTTTGCCTCATTAACATATGGTAACTGCACAGACTTACCCCGTGTTTAAAACGTTTTATTTATGTGAAAGGTCAACTTCGAGAAAATCCGGAGCTTCCCATTGAAAAAATTTCAGTCTCTTGTACTACCCAGGAATGCGATATTGCTACAACATCTTATTATCCAATGTACGCTCTATTATCTGTTAAGTGGTCGCTTACGGGAGGTTAAAAACAGAAGAAAGTTTCAAACTTTTAGCTCTAAAAGTGGTCGCGGTCGATCAAACGGTGAAAAGCTATCAAGGTTTAAAATAGCAGACGACACTTTGATAACATTTGCTGGCGAATTTTTTACCGGGGAAATAGAAAGATAGAGTCGCTATGATGTTTCAAATTGAAGTCAGTTTTGTATCCACCGGACGTGACAGCGATAAACCGGGAACCATAAAACATTTGAGATGATAAGAATTGAGCAGAGTTTAATTGGTTTTTTTACATGTCGAGGGGTCTGAGGTTTCGGGGTCTGAGGTTTCGGGGTCTGAGGTTTCGGGGTCTAAGGTCTGAGGTCTGAGTGTTTTCTTGAGACCCGGTCGCAACCGGAGGTTTGATTGTATTATATTTAGCAATCCACTGGGCCTAAAACCAAGGAAAGTGCTTACACAAGAGGCTCTGGGCCGTATTAGATCGAACACTCACCAGAATTCATTAAATACTCAGTAATACTTCATGATCATCAAAAGACGAATGATGAAAATCCATCCGAGAATCAGCTAAAAGTAAATAACAATTGGTCATGCATGGATGGATGAAGCAATATTCCTTGCTGAATCTCAATTAGTTTGAAAACGTAGTTCACGGGCGCGATGTCCGACTCGGACACTGCCAAAAAAGCCAAATTCGCCCAAAAATGATCGACGAAATGTTCTGAGGTTTTCAAGGAAGCCTGACTCGAAATACACCTGGAATATCCTACAGAATCCGGCCGTCAACTTGCATGAATACGACACACTCTACAACGCATCCACACTGAGGTGTGGAAGTCGTGATTTGTGTACGCCTTCAGGTCGGAGCACTCTAAGAGGAGTTTAATTTGTGTCCAGTGCCCGCATTCGACTTGACTCAGCTTGAAAACTGCAGTGCGGGTTGGATGCTGTAGGATTCTATGGTGTCCATCCGACTGCGTACACATTCGAGGCTACACGATGATATATTTTCGCTTTGGTAACGTAGTCTACGTACAGTATGAGAAAATAAAAACAAATCATGCTGTAGAACATCCATCAGTATGCCTGAAGTGCATGTTACAAACAGGAAGAGCAGAAGCGAAGAACACTGTAATCACGATTCTCGAGCAACCCGGGTCGAGTAAGCACGATGTTTACACAAGGCGAGGCCTCTTAAAAAACACATGAAACTATCTACAATTTTATTACTTTAAACCTGCAAACCTTTAAGTTTAGCAAACTGAATGACTTACCGAGGGCAAAAACCACGGCAAGGAAGGTCATCTTGTCTTTCCAGCCTTCAAGATGTCGTAATGTAGCCTGCGTAACAAGAGTAGAGCTTTTAACGTGTGTAATATTTGCTGAATTCCTGTAATTTTAACCCGGAGATTGGGGTGGTTTAGCAGATATGCAAATGATATGCACATGATGTCCTTCCGTCACCTGTAAACTTTTTGGAGTAATTCCGCTGACCAGTAGATAAAGCTCCTGAAACCACTGTAGTTCAAGAGACCACCTCATTTTCTCTTGCTGTAGTTATAGTCAATATTGTAGGCACATGTATCGTTTTACATTTCTAGACTGCGATTGTTGCACTAAAAATGGAAACCTGTTTTATTAATTTGCTTTCTGAGCATAGTTCATTTGACATTTCTATTACAATTCTAATCTTAAATTAACAGTTAACTGTAAATAAGACCAGATGTTGGCCTTTGTAATACGCATTGGGAACATTTTTATGACAGAGGTGAAGTTGCTGGAAGCTGCTATTGTAAATTTCCGCTCCGAAGTTTAGTAAAGATTGACAAGAGGCAATCCGCTCTACAAATCCGTGGTACTACTAATGGAGGGCCGAGCTCCTAAAGTTAAATTTAGGATCAAAAAGAACAGTTTCGTTGAGTCCACTGTAGCATTTGTCGAAAAAGTCTCTAATAAAAAACATCGCGGTCTCGCGAGCCTCTAAAAAGCTCATGATTACGCCAGATTAGTAAGTTTCAACCGCGGGCATGGAATCCACTTCGAGAAAATCCTGATCTTGAGGACTAACTCTCCATGTTACGCAAATTAGCAGTGATGAAACATATTTAAAGTCGCATTGGAAGACGAATCCCATGTAGCGGGAACGAGGAGAACTAGCTAGATCTAGCTAGATCTGTCACTTTCTATGTAAATGTGTTTTAAGTGTTTAGAGTGAATAAAGCATTGTCATTGTCATTGTCCTTCACGAACTGAAATCCAATCCGAGCATTAATTAAAAGTTTCCCCAAAGACAAAAAATTTTGAGCTTATTTGTTCAAGCTGATACATTTTGACACTTTAATAGGCTGATGAGCTAGTTACACAACAACGTTCGCGAAAAGCTTTATATGTCTATTTGTAGTAGATTTAATCATCGCAACACGATCGCATGTGTACAGTTTGATTTTGGGGTCATTTCGGAATCAACAAAAAATCGATTCGCCTTACAATTGTAGGGTGAATTTAACTGGGAAAAAGGTCAAATAGGACTCCTCTGTTCCCTGTACACTAGCCACACTAAACGTCGGCATCCGAGAAGTTTGCAGTTTAAGAGACTATATGTTACGAATTTCTTAGCTAATAAAATACATGAAAAAATTACTCGATTCTGAGTGGTTGAGAGGAGTGCAGTTCAAGTATAACACCAGTGCAAAACGTGTAACACCAGTGCAGAACGTGTAACACCAGTGCAAAAAGTGTAACACCAGTGCAAATTACACAACGTAATCCTAGATTATGATTAGCTGAAAAAAAATAGGAAATTTTCTAAGCCAATGATATCACGCAAAATGATGGCGAGAATTTAGTGCGGAAACTTTGAAAAAAGTTTAACTCGAATGAGAAAAAATGGTTTCAAGAAAGATCTTCCGGCATTTCCTCCACGCGAATTTTTTCATGTTAATATTATTAATAAGTAATCATATGGTTTTTCTTGTTCAATTTGGAATTAATTAGCGCTTGTGAGTTTTTAAAAAAGCTCATTCGTGCAAATTAATTCCAAATTGAACGAGAAAAACCGTATGATTACCTATACTAATTCGCAAATTTGCAGGCCAATTTGAGATAAGGTTGAAGTACTTTGTATCTTTCCCCCTTGAAGCAAGGTTTCTTACGTGTTACTATGGTTAGCACCCGCGTTCCAATCTAGTTGATCTAAGTTTCATTCTGGGATTCCTCCGTTTGTTTTTTTTAAGCTACTGGTCTTTTTCTTTCCCTGCTCAACCCTTTTTTTGGTAAAGAACATCCACAAATGGTTACATGGACTTATTTCACTGAAGTTTGGAACCAATAACACTGCGATAAGAACACGGTTTTTGACATCACGCGACCTTGCTGTTTCGCATAATCGACCTCAAATTGCATCCGATGGTATACATGTTGTGCGTTTGTAATTCATAATCAAAAAACTTGATTCCTCTGAAGATCCTTCACAGCTACCCTGCGAGCAGAGTCGTTTTGATCTTCTTCACCACCTATTCGCACTCGATCTAACGGCGCTGAGTCGCGTAAAGCAGACTACGCTTTCGTCTTCAGGCGAGAAGAAAAATATGTTGGGCAAGGCGACGAGAAGTTTACAAGGTAGAGTGGCTAATCCAGAATGGACAGAATGAGTAAATCCATTGGAGCAATGCAGCTTATGTAGTGGAGGTTTGCCAGTTCTTGTAACTCATGTAGTATGCACGAAAAGTCTTTTTTTTTTTTTTTTTTTTNTCATGTAGTATGCACGAAAAGTCATGAATTTTTTTAAAAAAGAATGTCCCCCAGTTTCAGAAATTTTTGAACTTTTTCGGGCAAAACGTTGATGATTCGAGAAAAAGTACTCGGGAGAAAATTTTCTAAAAGGTTGTCAAGGCCAGGTTTGTAGGCTACTTTCACTGACGTTTGCCTTGTCAAAACAGAGTTAAGGTCAAATGATATAAGGATATAAGGCATTCTGTTCTGGAAAAGCCATATATCGCATAAATGTGTATCGTGGAAATCCTCGAAATGAATGTTATTTCCATCAACAAAACAATGACAAAAGCATCGAAGAAAACGAAGACCTAGACTTTTGTTTTTGTGATGGCTCTGAAAAGAACTCTCCTATACAGTGTTATAGAGTCAACCAATGATGCTGAACATCTCCAATCTGATCTATCCACTATTGAGTATTGGTCACAGAAATGGCTGATGCAATTTAACCCAAGTAAATGCTTTGTCATGAGGATAACCAGAAAACGTGATCCTGTTATTTATGCTTATAAATTAATGGGACACTCCCTTGAATCAGTGTCACAGCATCCATATCTTGGCGTTGAGCTATCCTCTAAACTAGACTGGGGCCATCATATTGACAG